TTATAACTAAATATGGTTATCAATTTAATTTAAAAAAATTTATCATAAAATTAGTTCTATTTATTTAGTTTAGTTTTTTATTAATTAATAATTTATTTATTAAATTGAATTTTTTTTGACCACTCCAATTTTATTAATAAAGTATATTTTGCTAACATCTTTGTTTATTATTAATTTTTTATGTACTTTTTTAATTAAAATATTCTTATTAATTAAATTTTTAATTAGTCAAAAATTTGGGCTTCCTTTCAATTTAAAAAAATATATTTCAATTTACTTAGTTTAGATTTTTAATTAAAGTTAGAATTTTTTCAAATTTAATTTCATTAAATTTGTTGTTATGAACACTCCGTTTTTATTAATGAAATATATTGTTCTAATATTTTTTGTTTATTTTTTCAATTTTTAAAGTACTTTTTTAATTAACAAATTCTTGTTAATAAACTTTAAAATTGCTTGCACATTTAATTTAAAAAATATACATTAAAATTTTTTTTATAATAATTTTCATTTGCAAATATATATATTTTCATTTATTTGTTTTTTTATTGAACACTATTTTTGTTAATAAAATATATTTTTTTAGCATCTTTCATTAAAGTTTAAGTTTTTCAATATTAAGCTTTTCCGATTTTCCGCACATCTTGTTTACATTTCACAAATTTACAACAATTTTTAAATTTTGAGCATTTTGTTTTGGTTCAACACATTAATTTTCAATGCGGCCACTCAAAACTAGTAGCCGTTGTTGCAATCACTTTGAACGCCGCAGTTAAAAAATGAAACATAGTTATATGGAAAAAACCAGCAACAAAGATTATCAAGCTGTATGATCGAATCGTCGATAACCTCGGCGCGTTATTGAGCAACGTCCAAAAGTCGCAGCGGCTACTTTACGGCCAAACAGTCGTATAATCGTCGCTAACTATTTGCTATGTTTATAATTATTGCCACCTTTGGCTATTTTCGTACATTATTGTTTTTTATCTGAAATTTGTTTAGCATTTGGTATACGCATATATTTGTCGCAGTTTTTTTTTAACCAACGCGCACAAATATCTGTAGCAAATTATATATTTAAATTTTAAATTGCTTAAAAAAATTTGTATAAGCTTTGCTTGTGGCAATCTTATAAATATATATATGATTTTAATGCAATTTAAACTTCACACACCGATTTTCACAAGTTTTAGTTGCACCAAATTATTTAAACCGCGTTTAGCCGCGTCTTCAACCGCACACTTTAGTGGTCGATACAATTCTGTTAACAACAGCGCCAAGCGTGGCTGTTGTTAGTCGTTGTGTGAAGCGAGCGCAAAGCCACCAAACCAAGGCAACTGTCTGGCAGTAGTCCAGTCTGGGTGTCTGTGGCTATGGTGTGTTTGGTAAACGTGCAGTGACAGGCAGCCGTGGTGGTATGTGCGCGCATGCGCCAACGTTTATGCGCAGCTGAAGCAAAAAATGCAAGCCTAGTTGAGACTTGAGACTTTTGACTTTGTTTGCATTTACACTTTTGATTTTGCATTGTGTGTTTGGCAATTTTTAATTTTTTTTTGCTGATTTATTATTGCGTTTATAGAAACAACTGTACGAATATTTTATTTAAAATGGGTACTACTGCATTTTCCACTTTAATTACGATTTTAAGTTTTAATATACAAAGCCGAGGACTCTAAAAAATATATATGTAAATGGTTAGCATGACGAGCTGAGTTGATTTAGCCATCTTCGTCTGTACGCCTGTTTATATACGAACTTGTCCCTCAATTTTTGAGATATCAAACTGAAATTTCGCACACGTCGTTTTCTATCTAAAATGCTGCTCATTTGTTGGAACCGCCGTTATCAGACCACTACAGCATATAGCTGTCATACAATCTTAATGATCAGAATCAAATGTTTGTATGGAAAACTTTTTCATTTGAGGAGATATATTCACGAAATTTGGCATGAGTTATTGTACAAAACTATAATGCAATCTCCGAAGAAATTTTTTAGATCGAATCAATATAGCGTATAGTTGCCATACAAACTGAACGATCGGTTCGGATTGATTAATTAAATTTATAAATATTTTTATTATAATTTACTCATTCTATTTTAGTGCTTAAGAATATTTAACTACAATAAATTAAAAAAATATAAAATAAATTTCATAAGATCAAAGCTAAAATCAAACTTTTTATATTTGTTTTATTTTATGGTTATTATTTGAAATTTTAGTTTAATTTTTTTTTCTAATGAAACTTCAATTGAAATTTGTTTACTATTTAAATTTTATAAATTTACTTTATGTTGTTTTTATGACATTATAACTTTGTTGAATTTAATTTATTTGGTATTTTTACTTTACATATATTTTTATGTTTTTGATTTTTTTTTATACTTTTTTTATTCAATATTTTATATTTTTCTATACTTTATTTTATTAATTCTGTTTTTATTTCGCGTTTTATATTATTTTTTTTATTTTTATAAGTCTATTTTATAAACATTTTTAATTAAAGTTAATTTCTAATTAATTTTTATAAAATTTAAAATTATTTATATTATTTAATTAATTGCATTTTATTTCTTTATTGTTTTCATTTTATGTTTGTATTTTCATTTTTTATTTAATTGCGTTAAAATATTTAAATTAAAAAAAAAAATTGTTATTTTATCTAAAAAAAAATGCAATTCTCTTGAGCCTATAGAAAGATAATTTTTGTAAATATTTTTTGTTTTGGTGAATTGTAACGCACAGCATCCGAACTGCCCACAATCCACCACAATGCATGGCCAACAATAACAGAAATACTCGCCAACAGTTAATTGCAGCCATTGAGTGCCAAAGTCAATCACATGAAAATGAAACTTTAAATGACCGAAAACAAAAGACATTCACTTTCAATATTCACTCCCTCAAATAAAAACAACGTTTCACTCACTATTTGTGCTTAGTCAGCACGCTCTATCACTCAATTAGTTTTATGCTAAGCTTTAGCTCTGAGAAGTTTGAGCCAATTGATTATGCTTTTGTAAAAATTGAGAGCGATTGTGTGCCTGCGGAACAACAAAACAAGTTACTTTTCTATTTTGGTGACAAAAACAAAAAAAAAAACTTAATTTTTATTTTTTTATTTGTATTATTTTGATTTTCTTTATTGCTTTGTTTTGATATTTTCACTCAGTTATTAAGTTAGTAAGCACGTTGCTTTATTTGCGGCGAATTAGTTGTAATGTTTTTGTATAGCTGATGTGGTTTAACTGGATGCTTTTTTAATTTTTTTCTTTTTCACTGTAACGTTTTTGCGGCGAATTATAAGACAACTTATGAATGAATGCTTAGTGTTTAACTTTGTTGTTTTTTTTTCTAATTGGAAACTTGTTTATCTCTTGTATAATACTCGTGTTAATACTATACTTTTATTGAGTTACTAATAAAGTAGTTATAATCTAATTATAATTTAAGTTTCTTATAAAGTTCTTCTAGCAGAGAGTTAAAAGATATTCTTTCTCAGCTCATTGTTAATATATAAATTTATTAAATTATTACTTTTATTGTGACTTTTAAGAATAAGTTTTTTCTATATACTTATCTAATATTAATTATAATTTAAAGGTGTATATCTGTTATAAAGTTTAACTAGAGCACATCGTTGGTAAATATTATAAAAAAAATGTCGATTTGGACGGACCTCTCGCGAAGTGAAAAGTTGAAAATATTTTTTTTGTTATGAAGAATCGCAAAATATTTAGAGTAGTCTGTTAGAAGACATTTTGTTGTGACCTTATGACATAAAATAAATAACTGGATGTAATAAATATTAATAAATCTCCGAAAACAGTGTTAATATGATTCTGCTGAAGGAAATAGTAAATATGTATATGTTTAGATCATTTTCAAATTGCATTTCACAGAAAGATGATCTGAAAAGATGTCAATAAGAGACCGCAATAACGCCATGTTAGCCATATCAAATTAGGTACATTTACTAAATTGGTAAATATAAGATACTTCTATCCAGAGCATACATGATTCTGTGTACAGCACCATCGAATTACTTACTCTTGCTTTTCTTGCCAAAAGTTCTGTTACAAGTTCAGACCATTATAAAAATTAAACTATAACACATTTTTTAATAAAGTTAATTTTATTTAGTAACGCATGTATTAGATGAGTGATGTACGAAATGTTATTCGAAATTATCCCCTTTTGCTTTCACAATTCGGTCATTGATCAATAACAGAACGCACAGCTTCTATTGGTACAGCTATGAAACCATAAATGTTGTTTTTAAGCCACTGCACTTCCAAAGGAGAGAGTTTTACCACGCCTTATAAAACATCGTGCTGATCTACTTTTGCCCAAGTTTTAACCCCGGTTTTATTCATAGATGTGAAGGGGTGTAACGCCTTTACAGGAGACTCCATACCAAACCATTACAACAGCTGGATGGTGACCACGTTGAACCCTTGAAATAACATTTTTTGCGTCTTTAGAAGTGTTTGCTTAGATTTTGTCGTTTTGCTTATTTAAAACTTCTTCAACAGTTTGTCTTCTGTAAAAATGTTACCGTTAACCGCGTTCCACTGAAGAAGCCGCTTGCATCTGTTGAGCCTAATTTGCTTCAAACGGGCTCTCAGAAGATAAACAGTTGACCGACGTTAGACTTAAAACTTAAATATTGACATTGATCTGATCAGTATATCCATTTCCCTTGACATAATTTTCGATTTTCTAAGGGCATTTTTGCGAATGCGTTCGCGAACAGTTTTTATTGCTGAATTAGTTCGAAATACGCGAGGACGACCACTTTCTGTCTTTTTCTGTCATCAACTGTAGACGTTTGGGAAAAACGATCAATACAAACATTCTCGAAATATAAGTTTTTTGAGAAGCTCATAAATTTCACTTGTGCTTTTTCTACATGTATTATCTTGCCAAATTGTATAATTTTTTTCGAAAAGTATATTTTTTATTTTTTTAATAAACTATTATTTTTCTTTTTTTCCAGCAATTCATGCAACAACATACTTAATTTTTTCTGTTAATCATTTTACTTTGCCTGGAAAATTGCTAAACTAACCCTGCATGATTAATGGCAATACAGTATCAATGCTTTTTGTGTAAGTATTCGCATAAATATGTATACTAGTATATACGTAGTAATTTATTTTGTATAAACACTTTTTTTGTAGACTTTCCGCGGTGACACTTTCCATTAGAAATGCATTTCATTTAAAGCATTATCGAGTGACATCTTAATCAATGAAGTTGCGAGTAAACAATATTTCCTGGTTCCATGTGAAGCCAACACCCACAGTCGCCCAAAAGGCAACTATTAAAGGAGCGCCGAACAGTAACACATAACAACAACCACATACAGCTTTACTGGTGAGTACTGCCCCAATATTTCTTATAAATACGCAATTCACAGGCACACATATATTATGCACACATACAGACACACACACATGCGAAAATTGTTGCACGAATACCGCATTTTCGCAATCAATCATTGACAAATTGGATTACAAAAACAAAAACTATTAACAAATAACGCATTACCTAGCGAGGCGAACAATAAAAACAATTTTGTATGTACTGCGTATATATATGATCGCATTTAAGCCAATCGCTTATCAGCCATAAGCCATCCGCCAGCAATGCAGCCAAAAACGTGCCACAAACAGCATGCAACATGTGACAACATGCAACATGGTGCCAACAATTGAATGCTTTGAAATATTTTGCGCCCGTGCACTACCAAAATTGGTTGTTTGTTTATATGTATATATATACATATATACATACATACATGCATACACATATATATAAGAGTGCAGCTTCGAATAGCAGGTGACTGTAAGGGGTAGGCAAAGTCTATTAAAGGCAGTGGAAAATAAAAAGTAAAACACAGCAACTTTGTATAAAAATCGATCGATTTATAGCCAATTCCTTAGCGGCGGCTGCTGCTGTTGCCGCTCTTACTAAGCTTTTTTATTTATTTTCGCTGCTACCAAAGCTGCTTATGTTCGAGTCTGCTTGCCTGCGAGCCAGTTAAAGCCATCACTACATTTCCCATCGATCTCCCGCTAAAGCCAACAATTATTCGCACACGATTTGCTCGCCTTCGCTTGTCTTTGTATGTTCATAGATACAGTCGTTGCTGCAATAATGGACACAGGTGCAATATTAATATACATACATACAACATTTTAGAGCAGTCAACCTCTTTTACTGGTTACGACAATTTTTTTTCCTTCCAAGGATTCTCCGTCTATATTTGCCCCAATTTAGTTCACTTGGAAGCCTCTGTTAAGTATTTAATTACCTTACTAAATATGCTACACGACTAGATCATGTCACAATCTAAAGTGTAAAAGGTGAACGCATAACTTCTTCCGATATAGTTGTAACGCTTGCAGATGAAATTTCAAAACATGCAGTCTTTAGTGATCAACATAAACCAATTCTTGATCAATTATCCACGAAATTAATGTCTTGTACAATACATACTGTTTCCTAGTATAAAAGTTTTGAATTTTTCTACCAACCTCAAGTATTAATACTTGTATATGTATCAATATTTATTGAAATTAGATTTTTCGTACCCGTAAATATACAGAAAGACCTTATGTTATACAAATATAAAATTTAACTTCATTTTCAAACTTTGTGCTCGCACTTCGAAAGTTTTACTAAATTAATTGGTGTTCACTTTTTCTAGGCGTCTGTTGACCAATATTTTACCGAGTTTTTTCCTAAAATTATAAATGAAGATAAATGTCTGTAAATCAGGAAGATGACGTTTTAGTAAGATTACGGCATCTAGACCCAGCAGAAATTTCCCCATTTATCTTAAAAAATATAAGACACACAAACAAAAAAAAATATAAACACAAACTGGATCATAAATAGTGGTTTTAAATAATTCAACTGCTGCGCCATCTAGCGGCATATTATTATTGGTAATAATCATTCACAATTCTTCTTTGGATAAGTTTTTTCAAGTAATAAGCTGTTCAAATTTAAAACGTATTCGATTTTACCGTTATTATTAGTAAAATAAGTAGTTTTTATCATTCAACTTACTCTGGTGTCGATGATCTGTCTTTCAGTTCCCTGCTCATCATTTCTGCTTAAAATTTGCATCCAGCTTTTTCCCCTATCTGCTATATTTTCTTTGATATTTAACTTTCAACCCACTGGTTATTTAAAAGAAGATGTTGTTGCACTAAAGTCTAAAACAAAATTAGCCAAAATTTGTCCGCGAATTGCTGAGAATTCGTTAAGGACAACAGATTGAGGGACTCATTATCTTTCCACTAAAATATTAGTATGTTTTTCCTTAATTTCATGCCTACCACTGTTTACATATTTGTTTTTCATTATTTGTTCATTGGTTTTTGCATTTGTGATTGTTTTGCGCGCGTGTTGCACCACAAATCTGAGCCGCTTTTGTTGTCATGCGCTAAGCCATCAATTTGGCAGCTAAGGAGGTTGCTGTTGCTGCTGCCGTAGCAATTGCTAGCGGCCGCCTGTTGTCGGTCCACAGCCAATCGACAGCCATTGCCCTAGTTATTTTTTTCTTTGGCTTTGGTTTTAAATTTGTGGTGTATTTTCTACTTTATTTGTTTTTGTTTTGTTTCGCTCGGCTTTGATCGATTTGTGCCAACGAGATTTTGTTATATTGGCTTTCATTTATTGCTAATTGAATGATGATGATAAAATGTGTAAATTTAATAGCAAATTGTTGGTGAATTCATTGCTGTCTCATGCGAGTTAAAGTTGTATGTTTATATATATGTATAATTGATAAGAAATGGCAAAGTGAGTTTATTAACCAATCTGGTACTAGATATTATTGAAGAATGTTTGTACATAGGTACATACTCCCCTACATACATAGCGATTGCTTTAGTGATTTCGTAATAATCGTCTAATTGATACAATTATTCGTTATAAATTATTTCCGGTGCTAACGATCAATTTAGTTAAGAATGGTGTTCTATTAAATTGTCACTACTTTGAATAAGTTTTGCGCAAAACTGAAATATTAGACTACACTACCATCACAACAAGGGGTTAAAAGCGTAAGTTAAAAATCGTCATTTGAGCTTTGACATCGATCTCCAATACAAAGGAAATATTGAGCTTTACTGATGTAATATACATAATAAAAGCTGACTTCGGTTCGCCATTTCTCTGCTCAATATCTTTGTCAAAAAATTACATGTAAAAGAAACAACAACGTTATCAAGTTGAATTTTTACAAAAGAGTATGCAGATACCGCATTAAAGTGGTATAACCGCTGTCCTCAATGCTACCAAGTTCTGTTTTGCATATTTTAGATCAGTTTCACTAAATGCCTCAAATGAAAAATGAAAATACAAATTTCTGTTTTTCTTAATTAATAAAGAGTATATTAAGTTTGCCACGAAGTTAAATAAATAATCAGCATGATGAGCTGAGTTGATTTAGCCATGCCCGTCTGTTTGTCCGTCTGTCCGTCTTCTAAGGAACCTTTCGTATTTGTGAAGGGGTGCAACCGAAGTTTACGTTTTTTCTTGTTTAATCTAAGAACTTACTGGAACCAAGATTCGAACCGTGATAGATCAATATCTAAGACAAGCTTACCCCCAACTATAGCTGGTGTTACTTCGCAACCCTTAAGTAGAACAGTATCACTATCAAATCAAATATGGCCCGGACTGGTCCATTTTAACTGTGCCCAAAAATCGAATCGATAAATATTTTTTTCCTACTCTTTATTTTCGCGTGAAGTTTGATCTCCATATGTCAATTAGTATGTGTTTGACAGGTGTTCGTTTACCACGCGAGGAGTTTGTCTGGCGATTTGATCTTGAGTTTATGAGAGGTAAGAAAACTCTTAACAATAATAATTAATGAAATGTTCAATAAAAATTAAGTTAACGGAACAATTTTCTGATACATCAGCTGTTTTCTAAATTTACTGATATTATTTTATTATTCATTCAATCATATGGGCTTGCACTTGAATAACATACGCATATACCTACCATATATTGCACAAACAATATTTAATACAATGGTCTGCAATAAGAGACGAGCAGATCGATTGTAGGCCAAACAAAACAATAGAAAATCAGCACCAAATGCTCAAGTGCCAACACAAACAAATTGATATTATGTGAAAACGCCGATATGCATTTCATTTTCCAACTCTTGATTAATTGCTGTGGGCGTATACAGCATCAGATAAGGCAACTGTAAACGTGGTAAACAATAAATCATACAAAAACCAAAAAACAATCGCCGATAAAATCAAACACACAATTTCAAGTGGTGCAAAATGATTTGCTTGAAAGGCGCTCACTTAGTAGAAAATCTCACACGATTTTATATAATAATTCTACACAAAAATATATACATATGTACTCGTTTAAATACGTCTACGCAGGCTTTTACGAAATTGTTAAACAATTTCATTAATTTTCGTCTGTTAGATAAGTAAAACAAAAACTTCGCATGCGCGAGATATATAGTGTTTGTGAGTTTGTAAGTTGGTAGCTACCAGCACCGCTGATCGTATATGTACATATCATAAGTTATTAGTATTCACCATTGTCTTGCTATTTCTGGTGCGTATTCAAGCCATTCACTGCATTTTCGCAGCATATCGCAACCAAGCATCTAAAGTTTTCAAAAATAAACGAAAAATATATTATTTATGACACCCAAATTGAAAATCACATTCCGCACCATTTTTCCTAGTTGCTTTTGTTATCATTTCGATATCATTTTTCGACTGTGCACAGTGTGTGATTTTTTTTAACTGCCAAAATTTAAGTTAGTATACAAGAAGATCTCGTAAGGTATCTCAAATAAGCAATGATGGACAAAAGCTTTTCTCCTCCACCATATGAGAACAGATCTGGAAAAACAATTTACTTGAAACTATAAAAAATTTATATTTTATGTACTAATTAAAAACCAAACAAACCTTCTTCTGATTCCATAGAAGCATCTCTTAGTCGAAAACTAATTTACAAGCACTTTTTATAGACGTTAACTGGGATGACCTTAGGCTCATTCAATGAATTTTTGTTGCTTTTCCAAAATATAGGTTTAGGGAATGCTCCCGAGTTAACAGACCTTTAAAATAATCATTAATATATTCTCCGAACTGGATATTTAAATCTTGTGAACCGGAAAAATTACAGGCCCGTTCGTAGATGATCGAAAAATCAGACTTAAATGTATCGGAGCACTGAATTGATCCGTTTTGCTGTTTAACATTTTAAAATTAATAAATATTCGTGTTAAGGTGGAAAGTACGTCGCGACACGGCTTATGGGAAATTATTCAAAGATACAGGTTAAGCACCGCTTTGATTTTTTCTGATTAG